ACCCTCACCGTTCCTCTTTCGGTCGACTAGACACAGGTCCGGAACACTCCATTGTCGTTGATATTCCATCTACTCGCACTAAGCGCTTGGCCTCCACCTTTCTGATGCGTAGGGCAAAGAAATGGAATAGTCTGTGTTTCCGGAAAATGGAATAGTTTGAGTGAATAGGCATTTTTTAGGCAAACGGGACGCGATTGCCTAAAAAATGCCTATACGCTCAAACTATCGCTGGTCACACCGTCGCTTAACATCAGGTGAGATTGTGGCCAAGCGTACGTGTGGACTATAATATATGTATATATAAGTGGTGCTTGGGCACTTCTATTCTATCTCTTTGGGATTTTGTGTACTCATCGGATCGATCTCGACGAGTAGTAGATGGCCAGTGACTTACTTGTTGAGTTTTTTTGGAGTACCAGAATAGTTTGGTAATCCCCTACGAATTACAGTACATCTATCGTGTTTGGACTCATTAAATTGGTCTCTACAAGCAGTACACCGTTTTGTTTAGGTTTTTTTTATTATTTTAATTTAATTAGTAGTTATGTTGCTGGCAATTTCTACACAAGCTGTATTACCACAAATCAATGGTAATCAATGGAACTAACCTGGAATACGTAGCGAAGCTAACTTTACAGATGTGACAAGTGAAAGGGTTCTTGACGCCTTTATGGATAACGCGGTGATTGTTTAGGCCGTCTTCTGAATAGAATACACTGAAACAATCGCAACCTGTCTGTAATAAAGCTACATTTACAAAATTACAACGTTTCAGGAGGTAGGTTTAGGAAGCATTCAAATTTGCAATGGTGGTAAAAACCTATAATAAAATACCAGAACATATCGCACCTTGCAACTGTTATAGACAGGCGTGTAGCTTACCATCAGGCGCACGGCTTGTTCGTCCCATCACTTGATATTGTAAAAAAAAAATGTAGACATTAATACTGCTTCTGTGCGGGCGATATTGTTGTGTTGGAAACATACATACGTAAACCTGGATTGTCAATAATATTGTATGTGTGCGGCTAGCCAATGAGAATATAAGAATAAGAAATACATTTGATTAATTTGTCAAAACTGGTGGTTTTACTTGTTTACTCTTAGTAAAATTTCCTTCCTTTTATCTTTTAGAATTCTTTATGATATATCGAAAATATCGATGTTATACCGACATATCGCAAAATATCTATAAAACATTCCGATATATCCCATCGGAAAAATATCGATATTTTTTTTACATGAACACCACTAGTTTGAATAAATAATTATATTATTATTAACAAAAATGGCGGGCTTTGGAAGTTACAAGTACAGCTTTTACAAATTTTATTTTTATTTTAAGTATATTATAAAGAAAAAACGAAGAAAGAAATAGTGATGAAGAAAGTTAGAACTATATTCCTTATTTTAAACCAAATTACAAAAGACTTTATCCTAAAAATTCGAATAACTACGAATTCAAAGTGATAGAAGATAAGTGATTAAAGTGAAAGTGAAAACATAATTTATTAGAACCACAATGGAAAATATTACTGAGGATCCCGATAATTAAACGAAAACATGGCTCAAAGGACTTGTATCCAAGCCAGAACTTATTATTTTATTTTAATGGACGTACAAAACAGTTTACATTCAGTGGAACATGTTGAGATACAATTTATAGTCTTAATCTAGAATGTAGACCTTGTACATACAGCGTTATTATGCGAAGTGTAAACATATTTGCATAAGGATTACAAAAAAAAGGAAAAAGTGAGAAAAAGTGGAAAAGTGATATTACAAGTTAAAACTAATGCAACTAAAGGCTAACATAGATATTAATTTGACAGTACTAATGAGAAGATGAGTTGAAATATTTACGCACACGCACACACGCACACACTCAACATTTGAGGAGATTAGTACGATCCGAAAAAGATTGTTGTCGAAAACATCAATTATTATTATAAATATGGAATATGTCGACACCTCCTACGTAAAGTATCGTATGTCGAAATTGCCAAGTTTACAGGGAAGCATTTTAAAATTCTGAATTCACTGAAACGAGCATAACACGACAAAGCTAATCTAATAGATCATCTAACCGATATGTAGGATTTTACAATACTCTGTGTGAGTAACCGCTTGCCGAATAAAACTGAAAAATGCTAAAGTCACCTGTTATGTTCCTTTCAGTGGATTCAAAACTTTAAAACACTTCCCTGTAAACTTGGCAATTTCGACATACGATACTTTACGTAGGAGGGGTCGATGTAGTAGTTACACATTATGTACTTACTCCTCACAATATTCGCAGCGGAAGGCCTTTTCTATTTCGACGACGCGTATGATGGCGCGCGCCTCATCCGACACTCGCGACAGCAGAGGTTCGGCTTGAGACCCTTCCACTTGGCGACGTATTGGTTTTGATAGTTTTGGGGACTCTGTGACAAAGGTAATAATCATCATCAACCCCTTGATACGTCCCACTGCTGGGCACGGGTTTCCTTTCAGACGATGGTTTAAGCCATAGTCAGCCATAGTCCGCCACGTTAGCCCAATGCGGGTTGGGGTCTTCACATGTTTGCCGAGGGATGTGAACCTTCTTCAACGTACTGGTTTCAACACAATGTTTTCACCTTGCTGCGGGGACCCAATTTTATTCATATAATTTAAAAATCTTAGTTTTATTTTTTGGTGTTTAAACTTTTATTGCCTTTTTAACTTACATGTATATTATCAAAATAAAAATAAATTAATTAGTGGACCAAACGGGAAAGTTGACCAAACAGGAAAGTAGACGAAATGGGAAATAAGACGAATCGGGAAAAACAAGTGGACCGATCGGGAAAGTAGACGGATAGTGAAACTGGACCAATCGGGAAAGTAGACCAATTGTACCGAAGGGCAACAACATTGCAGGCTGATTTCATATCACATGTCCTTCATATTCACACACTGGCTTTTACCTATTCTTAAAGCAATGCATCCAAATTAACACCCTTGATAAGAAATTTAAAATAAATAGAAAGCTTTGGCATCTCCTGAATAATCACTCTTTTTAATATAGGAGTTTGAGAAAGTAAGGCATCGGTTACTTTCGTAGTAAAACTGAGATACGTTTTTTTATATATATATATATATAACGACAAGTGACGGGACGAGCAAGATCGTGCGCCTGATGGTAGACTACACGCCTGTACATAATAGTTGCAGTGCCACTCAGAGCTTTAAATCGCAAAGATCTGAGGGGCACTGCCACTGCGCCCGTCACCTGGAAACATAAGTCGACAAGTCCCATGTGCCTGTAATTTCACCAGCACCCTTCAAAACCGGAACACAATAATGCTGACATTACTGCTTGGCGGCAGAAATAGTTTTAAGCTCTGAGTGGCACTGCAACTGTCATGGAGAGGCGTGTAGCTTATTATCAGGCCCACGACTTGTTCGTCTCATCACTTGGTAATAATATTTCTCCCGGGCGGCCCGAGAATCGAACCGGGATCTCTGCAGAGCAGAGCAGCATCGGTCAATTTTATAATGTTATCTTAAGTTTGGGAACCTAAAAAAATTTAATGTGGCTTATGGAATTGTTTAGAAATAACATGAAAAATCAAACTAATTCAGGAATGATATAAGACCTTTAACATACCAATAATCTGGACGGTATGTCTGACAAGGCCGCTGGTTGGAGACAGTAGTACAGTGACAGCTTCTTCTTCCTTTAACTCGTTGGCGAACTCTTCTATACATTCCGGACATCTAGTTATGTGCTCCTGTAATAATAATTACGGAGCATTTTGTTTTTCATTTATTTTCCAAAACAAAATTATTTACATTGGTTCTTAAATCTTAAATATAACCTACAACCTACCTACTGCAATCTCTTTAACGGGTTTATACGGAGGTGGCTTCAGTCATCGCACAGATTAATGCGCTTTTTTTTTAGAAAAACAAAAATAAAAATATTAAATATACTAAATTTAAAAAATAATATTAAACAAGAGAAATCATAACTATTATTACCAATAATCACAAAGATCGAACACTCAGGAAAAATTCCTTCAATCAGGCCGGATTCGAACCGACGTCTTCTGGCATACCGTGCCAGATACTATACCAACTAAGCCACGGAACGAACCAGCGGACCTCACGAATTTTTCTATGTGCTTGTTATCGTGTCTTTGTATTTGGTTGTTCAACGACATTTTAGCCGTAGCTGCATCTATGAGAAATCTGTTATATATATAATATTTCGTCACGTGTTTCGTTTGTATTAATAATTATAAAACAAACAAGTGGAGTATTTTCACATAAAAAAAAAATTGAAATATCAATTCAACAAAAATTTAAATATTAATACTTGACCACACTTTTCATCAAACAGTAGTAGAGTAGTGTTTGATGAAAACTCTCTTGAACCTGTTTTTGCATTGTTTCACATTTTAAACAGACTTCAAAAAAGAACGACGTTCTTAATACGACTGCAAGTTTTTTTGTATGTATGTTACGTGATGACTATGATTTATGAACCGATTTTGGTGATCCTTTTTTTTGTTGGAAAGAGGGTACCACAGAAGTGGCCCCATTTAAATTTGAAGAAAATATTCCACCTCTAATGGGCAAACTAGGGGATGAGTGATTTGTAAGGTCGGTTTTTTAGTACTCCGTATTGCGATTATTACATATTAATATTTTCTGTATAAGGTCTTTATGTATTTAGCGTATAAGGGAGCATGTAATCCCTTCTTATTATGCCGCCATTATGAAGAATTTGTTTCTATTGACAATACGACCTTTGGTCTCGCAAGCCAATATGACCTTCAATAAACTTTCCTTTTTTACTTATTAAAAAAAGGAGGAGGTTCTCAATTCAGCTGGTTTTTATTCTGTGTGTATGCGACAATCGCGTCGCTTTATCTAGTTAATTTTAACTTGCATTTGTATTTGGAGAAGGCATAAAAACTTCACATTATTTATTGTAATAAATAAGAAAGGGCCTAAGAATTGAAAGAAATATAATATTAAGGTAGAAGAGTGGTATTGTGTCAGCAAAGTTTTTCGGAACTTGCTGCAATATTTCAATAATTTACCTGTACGTGATCAGCGTCCCGGAAGGCTCGTGAGCAAACTGCGCAAACTAGAACCAGTCTGGGGCGTAATTCTTCTTCGTGTGCTCGTAGATGCATTCGAAGCCGTGAGCGGCGAGTTAATTGTTTCAGGCAGATGTGGCATTGGAAAGGTTTTATCTGAATTACAAATTTTCTCATCAAAATTATGTCATATAGTGACATTTATGCTGGTTGTAAATATATATATTTTTTATTAAGTACGAGGGTCAAACTGAAAGTTCTTAGAAAATTAAAAACTGATTACATTAGCCAGTTATTAGTTTTATTATATCTTTTCAAAATATTGTCCATTCACGTCAATACACCGCTGCATGCGATGGAACCACTGGGAAAAGCACTTTGCCCACTCGTCCTTAGGTGTCTTCAATGGCATCGCGATACGCAGCCACCGCTTCTTCAGCTTTCATAAACCGCTTTCCTTTAAGTTTTTCTTTAATTTTTGAAAATAAATAAAAATCACAAGGCGCGAGGTCGGGGCTATACGGCGGGTGACCCAATAATTCAACGTTTGATGTCGCCAAATAGTCGATCCTTCGCTTGGCGGTGTGCGACGAGGCGTTGTCGTGGTGAAGGAGGATCCTACTGCAAGGTCGTTTCTCTCGAACTTTTTCCAAGACAAGTGGCAAACAATTGGTAGTGTACCATTCTGCAGAAACTGTTTTTTGATCCTCTAACACAATTGTTGCGAAATGACCTATCCTTCCAAAAAACGAGGCCACCATTTTTTTTCCCGCACTTCGATCTCTCTTCACTTTAGTTGGCAACTCCTCGAAAGGAAACACCCACTGAGCAGATTGTCTTTTGGTTTCAGGATCATAACAGTAAATCCAGCTTTCGTCACCTGTTAGTATGTCGAACACAGCATTTGAGTCACCTCCGTTAAATCTTTCAATCATTTTACGGCACCAATCCACACGATGGAGTTTTTGAGCCTCAGTCAAATTATGAGGTATCCACCGGGCGCAAAGCTTCCTGACCGCTAAATGTTCGTGGAGGATTTTGTGCACTTGACTCATACCGATGCCTAAGCTTGTCCGAATCTGCTGATAGGTCACTCTTTTGTCAGTCTCTATCATACGCCGCACAACACAGATGTTATCTTCAGTCGTCGCCGTAGAAGGCCGTCCCTCATGTAAATCATCAGTGAGATTAGTGCGACCACGTTTAAACTCATTAAACCAGTTGTAAACAGTCGCACGAGATGGGGCTTCATCGTGAAAGGCCAATCGTAGTCTATGATAACTTTCTTGTTGACTTAAATGACATCGAAAGTCATAAAAAATCATTGCACGAAAATTTTCTCGTGTTAAATTCATGTTGACGTGACACAGACAATTTTCAATTTGCCGCCAAATCGTAAAACAAATGACAAATGAATGAAATATATACTCAGTAATATTGGCAAAGAGTTCTATTTTCAAATTTAAGAATTATTTTTTTATTATATTGTTTATAAGTGGCCAGTTCTAAGAACTTTCAGTTTGACCCTCGTATAGCTAAATTTTTGTGATTTTAAATTTGATGTAAATTTTCCAAAAAATGTTGATTTCAAAAACTTCAAGATGTTTTTACTCTAGAGTCGATGCTACCTTGGCTTGAATTAAAATTGTTGTACTAAATCACTTCTATTGCTCGTGTCGAGCGACAGGAACACTGGCTTTAATTCAGAATTTACTTTTTTACAAACGACATTAACACCGTTTGAAAAATGTATATCGTGTATTATAAATTTTTTATTTAGTTCAGTTGGTATAAAAAAAAGAATTGATAAATCGACCCCTCCGACGTAAAGTATCGTATGTCGAAATTGCCAAGTTTACAGGGAAGCGTTTTAAAGTTCTGAATTCACTGAAACGAACATAACACGTAATTTTAGCATTTCTCAGTTTTATTCGGCAAAGCTCATTACTCACATAGAGTATTATAAAATCCTAGATATCGGTTAGATGATCTATGGTGATCACTCTTTCAGTGAATTCAGAACTTTAAAACGCTCCCCTGTAAACTTGGCAATTTCGACATACGATACTTTACGTAGGAGGGGTCGAAATGTAAAGCATTTATTGAATACAGCGGTTTTTCTTATAAAATTTCGAGGTAAACCTGTGTTTTTTTTTTCTATCGTGAAAGTTTTTAGGAATCGTGTTTTCACGTTGTATATATCCTCAACTCTTCAGTGGATTAAAGGACACAGCGGCTCACGTGGCAACGACGCAGCAGATGAACTAGCCAGGAAAGGGTCGGAGACGGACGCTGTAGGACCAGAACCGATAGTGTCCCTCCCCTGCCAATGGTCCAGAACAACTATACACAAAGGTACAAAATCTTTACATAATAATACATGGACCACCCTTACGGTTTGTAGACAGGCGATGGAAGCACTCCCAACGCTCAACGCCAGTCTATCTCGAATACTAATTAAACTTAAAAGGCAAGAGCTTCGCACTCTAACTGCCGCCCTAACGGGTCATGGTCCATACAATAAACACCTTTTCAATATAGGTATCACAGACAGCCCTCTATGCAGAGCGTGCATGGAGGGGGAGGAAACGGCTGCGCACATCCTACTTCAGTGCTCCGGCGTGGCCAACTACAGGGCAAAATACCTTGGAGAGCCAAGGTCGCTCCCCGAAGTCTTCAGCAAACCAAGGAGGCTGCTGAGATTCCTGGAGGAGCTTGGGTGGCACGAGTAGGACCCTGCACCCACCCCACGCAAAATAGGCGCTTTGTCGTCGAGTTGCGGATACCAGCCCGTTGCACCAAGTACCAAGTATCCTCAACTTTACTATACATTTTTTCCAAAGTGATACATTCAACACTTTCACTGTCATGCGGAATCAACCAAAGCCATTTGAGGTTGAATCGACTCTTAAAAACGAATGAATAAGTATATTAAAATAAACAAATAACTTTTAAATAAAATAGAAGAATTTATTTCCATGTTTATCTTTTATCGCATAATACAGTATTCTAGTTTTCGTATAGGTGTCACCGTGTGAGTATTATAATGTTTGTTATCTGTGTTCGACTTGCCTGTTAATGCGTGAGCCAGTGGTCGTGTAACGTCCATTTGTTGAAAAATTCCTTTCCATATGTATTGTCATGTTTTCGTGTAGGTTTCACTGTGTTAGTGATAGAATGTTTGCGATCCATGTTCGACTTACCTGCAAATGCGTGACCCCATGTTCGTCCAATGTCTGTTTGTCAAGGAATCTTTTTCCACATGTGCCACATACATAGCGTCTGGTATCTGTATGGGTTCGACTGTGTTTCGTTAGTGTAGCCCTGTGCCAACAAATTTTCTACTTACGCCAGAAATCTAATTTGTAAGCAAAAAAAATTTGTAAGCTAGTGACAAACAAAACTAAATTAGCCGACCAAGTTGAAAGTCAGCATGACGTTTAAAACGACAGACCAATCCTAATTTTATGAATTTCATTCACTGGGAAAACTAATAAGATTTTGAATACCAGATTGACTATTAAGTTAAGACGTCTAGGCCCAAATTGAATTACAGTTAAAAAAGGAAATTAACCTGTTTTTCGGATCTAAATTGCTTATATTAGTTTTTTTATAATAATAATAATTTTTATTTAAGATCATTGATCGACTTTGTTAGTAACAATTGAAAACTTGATACTATGTTAGTATATTACACTAAAAAAACAGAAAATAATTAAAAATAAATAATAGGTACGCGGAATTAGAATTCATGTCATCAGCCCTTCTTGGTGACATGAATTCTGCGTCCTGATTTTGATTCAAATGTAGTCTCGAAATCAGATGGGTTTCCGAGCGAGAAGGTGAACCTGATTCCTACTATATCTTCTTATTTGTGAGTTAAATCAACTATTGTTGCGATTAGAAATGTCAAAAGTTTCCGATCGGCCAGTTGTGAATCGCCATTATGCGCCTCGATTCGGAAAAGACGCAGTTTCCGATCGGGAGAGGCAATCAAAATCAAGCTGCTGGTCCAATGGCACAAATCGAACACGTTACCGCCGCCACGCATCCTGCTCATGGTCGACGAAAAGTGTTTCCGTACAACTGCATCAAAACCGTCGGTACGTGTCTCCGCAAACATGCCGAACGCACTACTGAACTAGGGCAGCCGCAACAGTATTCTGAAGGTGTTATAATACTGGACCTTCAGGGCATTGAAGGATTTCTGCGTATAATTAACCCATAGGCCGCAAGTGCAGTGTCTGGAAGTAGGAAGTAGGCCTCAAAAAGAGTTGCTTTGACCTCGTTCGTACACCGTGCAAACCTGCGAGCCAACATATTGCACCTTACCGTCAATACCTCTAAGTTATCTGTGAACGCATCAGTCACCCTGTGACCCAGGTATATAAACTGCTTCACTTGCTTGAGAGAAGCACCATCTAGTATAACATTTTCAAACAAACCAACGTTTCGGGCCCTTTACAGGTCCCATCATCATCCATCATGGCCACGGAAGTAAAAAAAAAGGTCATGACATAAATATATATATATATATATATATATATATATAAAATAAGATTATAGTATCTACGCTTTCTATATTGGTAACCTCACCTTTGAGTTACCTACGGGATAGTAGTGTAGGGGCCAATGTAACACGTGCCGGAATAATTTTCGACTCATCCGAAGAACAAAGTCCCATGCGATTATTACCAAAAAGAGAATAAGTACGTTACGAATAATTTCGATATTCAAACTAAGACCTATGTAAAGGTGTTTTGAGAATTTATATATCTTATTTTGTTTCGGAAATATAAAATCGAACAACGGTCGATCTGACATCCACAGCGAAGAAGAACGAACGAAATGTACTATGTCCTGAAAACAAGTATTCTTGCACATAGATCTTTGTTCTACGGATGAGTCGTTTTGATCAATGAAAAAAGTTTTAATAAAATGTATGATATTCTCATCTATAAACCACATTTTAATCACTGTTTAAACGCGCCTATCATAGGAATTAAATTAAAAGTGTTAATTTTATAATGTAATATATAATGTTATTAGTTAAATGTATACTTCGTTTCAATCCATTTTGAACAAGAAGTAAACAAACAAGTCTCTGACCCGACCATAGACGGTTTAGTGGTGGCCAATTGTAACGCCAACTACAAATCGATTAATTAATTAAATGAATCGATTTGTTCAATTGAGTCATACTAGCGATTTTCCTTACATAACCTATATAAGCATATTTAAAATTTCAATATAAATCCTCCTTCAAATCCTTACACTTAGATACTCGTTCGATTGCGATTGAAATGTTCGATTTTATAATCGATTACTAAACTTTAATTGATTGAACCGAATGTTTTCTTTCGAACAGCACTATGCAACCATAGGCAAGTCATAGACGTATAGATGAATAATAACCTCACTTTTGGACTACCATTTTTCAAATACGTGTTTACGATGCTATTCAAATGAATATTGTCGGAAAAAGTGATGATGTATCAAGTCGAAATCTTCGAAATATACGTGAAAGTGTTACTTATTCGATTAAGTGAGTGATTGCTTTAGAATTTTAACCCAACAGGTTTGTTTATTTTTTGTTCAAAATGGATTGGAACAGACTATAATACTAATTTTATAATTTTTCGTAATTATTTGCTGTTATAAAGTATGTAGAAAATTAAGGTGAATTTTTGTATTAAGTACTTTTCAATTATTCCCAGGCCTTAGTGGGCCCATTATATACTCCCGGACACGTAACTCGAGCCACCGTGCGTTTTTGCCTTAAAGGGCTAGAATACAAAAATAGTGTTATCATCAAAGAAAAAGGTTTCCCCGGTTTTGCAACTCAAAATTTCCAAAAAGCACTTACAGAAAAGACTTAATATACTTGTTTCAAAATTGCGTAGGATAGTTCTTGATCAATCGAACATTCTTTAGGCTTACGGCATTTAATACTGATGCGAGATGACTCGAATGATGTATCCGGGAGTATGTAACTAAGCTACAGTAACATCTATGCCTACTTATGGAAACAATAAATTATTATTAGTAATTAGACATTACTGGTTGGTGACTTTATCATCTCAGTCACTCGTGACCAACGGTGGGATGATGATGAAGATCAGCTTCGTTACAAGCTCTACCACCAGTAGGTTAAGAGGCTGATATTACCTGAGGTAAAAGGTCTTCCCGCACGCAGCAACAGGGCACTGCCATCTTTTCTGCTTGTGATGTTGAAAATGTACGTGGTCGAATAACTCAGTCTCAGTGCTAAATGTCGCATTGCTGCATTCAACGCATGCGTATTCCCCGTCTGGGGTAAGCATTAAAGTTGAGTCATGGAACTGCCTGTTAAATAAAGTGTCAAGTTTAAAGCTAACTAAGGTAAAGTGGGAGAATAGCCCTCGTAGCACGGTTACTCCATCGCGTTTGAGTTTGATTTAGAACCTTTTTTACAAAAATCTTGACGCATTGAACTTTGGACCGCTCTTATCGTAAGCGGCATAGAGTTGGATTTAAATCTTAAGTCCCAAGCTTGACGTGCCCTTGATCCTGTACACATCTAGGCTCTAGAGTCTAATGTTAATGTTGCACTAGTTGAAAATTCTAGTGAAAGTGGATTGAAGGCCAAGATTGAAAGTAAGAAATGCAATTGTTTAAATCACTACACTGGACCAGGCCATTAATAAGCTTGTGCTTAAAGCACAAGTCCGACAAAAGTCTTCGTTCACTCAGAGTAACCATATTGAATTTTTATATACGTTGATCACATCGTTGCCTGTGAGAGAACTCGCTGGAGTAAAAAGCCAAGTGTCTAGTGAATGCTCGTTGTAAGCTCTCAACAAGTTTAGCGGAACGGAAACAGCGTCTCTGTAAAGCGTAATAGCGCAGGATAGACCGCGTAAAACTGGCGCCTGTTAGAATACGCGACTAAGGAGCGCAATCGCGTGGTCTTTCCCTTTTCCTTCCAAAGTCTTTACACGCGCGCCCGATCTTACACAATTGCTGTATCTCGCGCGATAGTGTCCATGTAAAGGCCGCTAATGCGTAATTTAACTGCCTCTGTGGCCGATTGGTTACCATGTTGGACTGCCGCGCAGAGGTCCTGGGTTCGATTTCCGCGCAGGGAGAAATGTGTCTACATTTATTTCTCTCGTGAGTTTGGGTGTAATTTGTGGTTGTCCATGGCAGCCGCGACACAGAGTTTCCCTAGTGCGGGGCTATGAGTGTGTTGCGCTGTTATTATTATTAATAATAATGGTTGCATCTGAATCACTGTAGTGAATTACGTACAATACAGTATATTTAAACAATACTTCTCGTTAAGAGTGCAGGAAAACATCACAATGAAACTTGCATCTCGAGAAAGTCCACAAATCTTGGAAGACGTGTGGAGGTCCCAAGAGCATCCCAAGGGCGTCCCAAGAGCAAGCAGGGGAGACCCGTGAAAGAGGTGTAAAGGATTAATGATGTATTGTAGTTTTTTTGTTGAAGAAATTTCCAACAATTTCGAGGATTATTTCTCGAAACATTTGTACAGGACATTTCCGAATCCCAAGATTCCCGATCTAGGTGCATACGTAAACCGGGCGGATCCGCTGCCCTACCTATTTTTATCGTCAAGCAGCACTTTAGTGTACAGGAGCGCAATCGGGAGGAATCGCTAAAGATGTTATTCCTTGTTATACTAAGGACAGTCGCTAATTACCAGATAAATTGCTTCTACAAATTTTCAGCAACAAACTTGACAAATAATTATTTTAAGATTTATATAGCAACACTGTTCCGAAGTCAAAAGCTTGACAGATAATTAGTAGAAAACACTGGTTTCAATAGCAACTGGACCAGCAGAATATCAATGCACTGAGGTGTTTTCCTCAAGCGGTTATACGACCGAACTAAATAGCACGCGAGCTATTCAGCCTAGTAATTTTCATTGTAAGTTAACTCTCTAACTAGACTAGACTACAATAATAAGCAAAAGAAAAACTCACATGTGAAATTTCAGTCGTACTTTCGAAGTAAATGATTCATTACAGTTATGGCACGTCAAAATCTGAGGATCTGAAGTCGGTTCACGGTTTTTCCTTTTCCTAGGTCTCTGAAAATTATATTACAGACTAGACATGTGCCCCGATCATAAAATTGCTAGGTGTCTGATGACGGCCGCGTGATCGGCGTGGTGTACGAGTGTATTTTTATGTGTTAAAAACACTACTATGATATTGTTTAAACCAAATTTTTTTACGATTTAACTTGTCCTTTAGCACAAATGTTTTTCATACTAAATGAACAAATA